CAACCATCACACCAAACACAATCAACATTACAACCAACCATCACACCAAACACAATCAACATCACAACCAACCATCACACCAAACACAATCAACACCACAACCAACCAACACACCAAACACAATCAACACCACAACCAACCATCACACCAAACACAATCATAGCGATGACATTGGTGGGGTTCGTCGGGGAGAGAGAAGCACAGATGTCTAAGAAAAATATATATATTGCATTTATACACACATTTGGTTGCAAAGGCTGTCTTGCCCCTAATTTCATGTGTTTCTGTTTACAAAGGTTCACCTTACATCTATAAACCATTTTAAATTGTCTAGTTGTCAATTCGTTATTCACAACCAGAGCCAAAAAGACAAAAATAAAATAGCTGACACTCCTTTAAAATTAAAATAAGAAGTTCCAGGTTGAAAATCTGCCGACTGTCTTGTCATCCATATTAACACGTTAACAATTAATTCATGGCCAAAACAACAGTTACTTAAAATGCAGAAATATGCAGAAAGCTGTGGAATACTCTGAATTTCAAAACTATTTAATATCCACTCGACAACTTCGTAAACAGACGAATACTAGATTTATTCAAGAAAGGAACTCATTAAAAAATTTACATTTTTAAACCTGCAATGAAGGTGATATATTGACGAAAGAAAAGAAGAAATTTTTGCCATTTGAAATCTGAGCACGTGGAGTGCAAACGTGTGTGCGCACAAGTGCGTGGCACCATTTCACACAAATCATGAACAAATACAACTTACATCTCTGATTAAGTCGTCTCATTTGGCAAGGTTAACGGCTGCTGTCACATCCTGGATCGCGTCCTCTTTGTATGAAAAAATAATTTACCAGTGTAAGAAATACAATTGATTTATGAAACTTGAGAACTTTCTGAGAGCTTGAGTAAGCTTTCAACTGATGACCCTGACAATTTGCCTTAATTTTATTTTGAAGTTCGAAAGAATAAACAGAATGTTCAGCACAAAAGCGGATTCTGTTACCTGATGGCCAGAACTCCCACAGACTACTACACTACCACGTGACCAGCCTGTTCGCGTCAAATACTCTATGGCTACCCCAGTTTCAAAGCCGATTAGATTGAACTTTTCAAATTTCTAACGAGCTCGTGTGTTGGACTAGCCTAAACCTTTTGTCATTTTTAGATATGAGTTAAAATACTTTATATCATCTCTGGTTGTATAACTTAAATTCCTTGGCCAATAAATAATGTTAATTTACATAACTTGTGGCGCCAAACGGGACGATTCTGTAAATTACAATGCGATTAATATTTAACAGATGTAATCTTTGCAGTAATAAATACGAATGCGCAGCGCGTGGAGCGTATTGTGGAGCTGCAACGTCGAGAGTTTAAGGTAAAGTTGTGGTCAACTCCGATTTAACGATGGCGATAAGATTCCTTGTACTGATCACTGCTACTGTTCTTGCGTTCAGCAAGCTCGCCAATGCAGGTATCGTTTAACCACTTTGTGCACACGTTTTTTTTTTCTCTTTTACTCTTGAATGCTCTTCTCCCTGTTATTTTTGCTTTTTTCGTTTTAGTTTTCTAAAAGTCTAAAGAGTTAGGATTATTTTATTGGTGAGACAGCTAGATCTTTGGGTGAATTAAGGCGCGGGACTTACCTTGCAACCTTTCATCTCCAGGTCCGTCATACAACTACTACGATGAGATAGCGCAGGCCACCTGTACGGCTATGAACACTAGGGCAGGCTGGGTGTTTGCTGTGAGGAGAAAATGTAATAGTTGGACCCTCCCTTGCCAGTATATCTGTTCTTCACCGAGTCTCGCAGCCCAGGATCCAAGTGTAAGCAGCAGAGGGTCAGTTTATGCGTTTTTTTTGCATGTCTTTAGAGAAAACTTTGAAGACCTACTATTTGTATTTATCAGAAATATTACTTAATTTAATATGCAAAGTTTCAGCTGTGGTGGCGAGTTCTGGTCTACCATTTAAAGGAGATCGAAACGTTATAAGCCAATTTTGGCAAAATCGTTTATGTGAACTACTTATCATTAAATGATTGTGTCATTTTGATAGGTTGGAGTGCTTCAACTCCCTTCATGTCTACCAAGATCGACCTGTTCTTCCATCTGACATCCAATCAGGAACTAATATGCTGGGACTGGAAGTTTACCGCTACCAGTCGTGTTATTCCGGCTCCTGTGGACCGAACTATTGCTGCTGTCGTTCTAAATAGATATAAATGACCTTTGACAATATACATGGTGTCCCCGATGTGTGGGCATTTAGACTTAATGCATGTTTACATAGAGAACTTGAACAACATTTCCTGTTATTGAATTATTAATTAACACACCTCATTTTCGACTTATCTGACAATGACTTTGATAAGCAAAGAGAATTTTAGCCGTGAGCAGATGTGTTGCTGTCGTTTTTTACAATAGATCTAGACGAAAAATTGACTTTTTGAAATAAAGAGCTTGATTGTTTCAGATAATATGAACTGATACGGACTATTCATCGCCAACTGACTTTCTATCATAGCCTCTTCTTTTACTGCCACCTGTCTGTCAAACTATCATTTATGCCAACCTCAATAAACGGTCTTTGGTTTTTAAGCGTAGTGTTCATCATTCTGAATTTACAATATTAATTTCCACATAACTATAACAGTCATTCAGCGAATCAAATTTTGATTACATTTTGCTTACTTCACATCGCGTACATAGCTCATTTCATCACACCTGTGCCTGTCAGACGCGGGATGCACTGCTGAAGATCGTTTCATGGTTACTCTTGACAGATTTTTGTCTTGTCTGCGTGGTTTTTTTCCGTCCATTTATTGTCTGCAGTTTTAAATTATTCTCAAAAAATTTGTATGGATTAAAGCAACTGCAGGTTATATAAAAGTTCACTTTTTTAATAAAACTTTTTGATGTTAACTGATTGTGTAAATGAATAGCACGTTTTTTTTCTCCTTTATGCCTTTCGTTTCCCCTTGGTTTAATAAAATATGTCTCAACACTCTTCACTTTATAACTCTCTGTGCAACGGCAATTTCTGAAGTGCAATAGCTGGCGGTTTTGAACCCCAATTCCAGGTCGCTTAGATACGTGTTTCAAGATGCATCCGGATATGTTACCTCTGGTTTTTCATTTTCAAATGCCTGAGGGTCCGTGTTACAGAAAGTCCGCCCTCTATTTAGTTATAGTGGTTACGGTTAGCCTGACCTAAGTGGGTCAAAATCTAGGGCGAGGGTCACCTGTCCAATTGAATGGGAAGCGGACTCTGTTATGGGGGACTCTCTGTCACGTTACATCGGGATTCACGTTAAATTCTAGTCAGTGTATAAGTACCACAGAACCTCGTTGACATACATATATTTATTATGACACCACATTCGTTCTACATTTACAACAGTCTTATATAGATTAATTAATAGATTTTTGATGACGACTTTGTACAAATAATATCAATATATTTTTAATATTGTTATCATCTCGATCATCCACCTACCTTGACGCTCTATTCATATGTAATACTTCAGGGACAATGAGGTCTTATGAACCTAAACGCTGCCACCCTCCTTAAAGAATACTCCAATGAAAATATCTTGGTTTGGTGACATTGGTTTGGTCGGGGTGTCGGGGGGGAGGGGGGGACAGAAGGCACAGAAGGATTACAGAGTGATTAAAACACATATCTGCTTACAGCCAGGAAGGTTGGTAAATACACAGTAAAGGACTCGTAAAATATCAAATAAACTGCGCGGGATACATTTCCCAACATGACTGACGTCTTTGGCAATCTAAATTTGCATTTTACTTCAAGATTAAACTAAATTTTCAGAGCTTTTCCTCATTAAGTATTCAAAACGTCAAGGTAACGTTAACTATAGGTGTCTCATCTATTGAATAAAGTTCTCTCTCTCTCTCTCCACTGACAAATACTGGTATATCTAACCAGTAAAAATGTGCAGACCTTCTGTAAAATGTTAAGGAGGAAAAATGTTATCTGTGCCTCGATTAAGCAGAGCTCTGGAGCTGTGCCTAAAAAATCGTTTGCTTTTTCTGTTGATCATGTTTATCAAAAACATTAGATAAAAGGTTAAATAAAATCGACAAATAAGATGAACAGAACAGAGAAAAGAAATTGAACAATATTAACAAGCAATTATATAAAATAAACAAATAGATAAATATGTTAATTTTTGTGCCTCGGGGTTACGTCCTCATCCAAACCTGAACTTTCAAAGCAGACGACAACCACCACACCAAACACAATCAACACCACAACCAACCATCACACCAAACACAATCAACACAACCAACCATCACACCAAACACAATCAACACCACAACCAACCATCACACCAAACACAATCATAAGACACTGGCTGGGTGGGTGGAAAGGGGGAGCACAGATGACTAAGAAAAAACGCACACACACTTGGCCAAAATGTTGTCCCGCCTGTAATTCCATGGGCTTTTGTTTACAAATGATCACCTGGCAACTGAAAACGATTCAAAATTGCCTTGTTGGTATGTAAAAAGGCTTTAAGCAAAAGGTTAACAGTCATTCCTTACTCTCTACCAGATCCAAAAAAGCTAACATAGCATCGCTGTCACTCATTTAAAATTGAAATGAGCAGTCCTACGTTGAAAATCTACAAGCTGTCTTGTCGTCCATATTAATAAGAATGCTGACATTTAATCCACAGTCAAAACAACAGTTACTCCAAATAAGAAATATGCCGAAAGCTGTAAAATAATCTGAATTTCAGAACTGTTTAACTTTGTATACAGACCAATGCTGGATTTATTGAAGAAAGGGACTCATTTTAAAGGAGTCTTTTAAAAGATATAATAAAAAGTTCACGTTTTTAATCTTGCAATAAAGGTGATATATTGAAATAGAAGAAGAAATCTTTGTCATTTGAAATCTGAGCACGTGGAGTGCAAACGTGTGTGCGCACAGGTGCGTGACACCATTTCACACAAAACATGAACAAATACAACTTACATCTCTGATTAAGTCGTCTCATTTGGCAAGGTTAACGGCTGCTGTCACATCCTGGATCGCGTCCTCTTTGTATGAAAAACTAATTTACCAGTGTAAGAAATACAATTGATTTATGAGAGCTTGAGAGCGTTCTGAGAGCTTGAGTCAGCTTTCAACTGATGAAAATTTGCCTTGATTTTGTTGTGAAGTTCGAAAGAATACACAGAATGCTCAGCGCAAGAGCAGAACTGCTCTCACGAACTACTGTACTACCACATGACTATCCTGTTCGTGACAAATACTTCATAATTACCTCGGTTTCAAAGCCGACGAGGGATATCTTTTCACATTTTTATGCGATCTCGTGTGTTTGGCTAGTCTGAAAGTCAGAGACGTTTTATTGAATTTTTCTGCACTAAACGCAAATGATAGATATTTAGTTTGCGTCTTCCTGTGGAACCATGAAAAACAGGGGTTTGAAAATTTCCCAGTCATATTTCTAAATGTACATATCCTTAAAAGCTAATTAAATTTCCCAATTAGAACCTTATTATTAAAAATTAAATAAGAGTGCCTGGTGTTAACAATACTTCTGGAATATGACAGGATGAAATGCCGTTGTAAACAAACGGCCAGTTTGATACAACTAAGATATCAAATGTAAAAAATGGAAAAAATATTGAATACAAGTATAGGGACAGTAATAATTCTATTGCGAGTTGGAGGAAATTGGTTTTTCTCCCGAGGATAATAGTTTTTGTCCATTTTTATTCCCAAGAAAGTATCTTTAACGGACGCTATGTGAACATAAGCATTAATTTAGAACGAAATTTTTGAATGTTTATGGTTGTTTATATCACCTCAGATAGCATAACTTAAAATTGCTCTACCGTAAATAATGTTTACAAGTAACTACATTAATTGAGGCGCAAAACGAGACGATACTGTAAATTACATCGCGATTCATATTTCACAGGTGTACTGTTGTGTGTTAAATACCATTGCGTGGAGAGTGGAGCGTACTGTGAAGCTGCAACGTCGAGTCTGAGGTAAAGTTGTAGTCAACTCCGATTTTACGATGGCGATACGATTCCTTGTGCTGATTACTGTTACTGATCTTGTGTTCAGCAAACTCGCCACTACAGGTAAAGTTAAACCACTTTGTGCGCAAATTTTTTTCTCTTTAACTCTTGATTGCTCTTTTTCCTTTTTATGTTTCCTTTTTTCCTTTATAGTTTCCTAAAAGTCTGAAAAGGTAGGATAATTATATTGGTGAGACAGCTAGATCTTTGGGTGCATTAAGCTGATACAAAGCCAATCTGATGTAGTTCTGCCTCGGCGGGGCTTAAATCTCAACCTTTCATCTCCAGGTCCCTCGTACAACTACTACGATGAGATAGCGCAGGCCACCTGCACGGCTATGAACACTAGGGCAGGCTGGGTGTATGCTGTGAGAAGACCATGTAATAGTTGGACCGTCCCTTGTCAGAATATCTGTTCTTCACCGGGTCTCGCAGCCCAGGATCCACAAGTTAGCAGCATAGGGTCAGTTTATGCGTTTGTTTTTGCACGTTTTTATATAAAAAACTTTGACGGCCTACTATTTGCATTGATCAGAAATATTTTAATATTAATTAAAATTAATTAAATATATATAGTTTCAACTGTGGTGGCGAGCTTTGGCCGGCCATTTAAAGGAGATCGATACGTTATAAAAGCCTATTTTTGGCAAATTTGTAAAGTCATGAAGTACTTATCTTCACAAGATTATGACATTAAAGATCATTAAAGATACATAATTTATTTCTCACATTTGTTTTTTGTCCTGTTGTTGCTAAATACCCCATAGCCTTAATTATTGTTATTCGGAGAATTCTCAATGTTTGTTGGTTCTGTTGGTTCAATCTATAGGTTGGAATGCTTTAACTCCCTTCATGTCTACCAAGATCGACCTGTTCTTCCATCTGACATCCAATCAGGCACTAATAAACTGGGGCTGAAGGTTTACCGCTACCAGACGTGTTATCAAGGATCCTGTGGACCGAACTATTGCTGCTGTCGTTCTAAATAGATGTACATTACCTTTGGCAACATATAGGGTTTCCCCGATGTGTGGACATTTAGACATAATACATGTTTACATATAGAACGTGAACAACATTTCCTGTTATTGAATTATTAATAAATACATCTTCATTTTCAACATTTCTGACAATGACTTTGATAAGCAAAAAGAATGTTAGCCGTGAGCAGATGCGTTGCTGCCGTTGTTTACAATAGATCCAGACAAAAAAAATCGACTTTTTGAAATAAAGAGCTTGATTGTTTCAGATATAATGGACTGATACGGACTCTTCATCGCCAGCTGACTTTCTATCATAGCCTCTTCTTTTACTGTCGCCTGTCTGTCAAACTATCATTTATGCCAACCTCAATAAACGGTCTTTGGTTTTAAAGCGTAGTTTTCATCATTCTGAATTTACAATATTAATTTCCACAAGATTGAAACAGTAATTCAGCGAATAAAATTTTGATTACATTTTGATTACTTGATATCGCGTACATAACTCATTCATTATCCCTGTAATAGTCAGACGCGGGATGCACTGCTGAATATCGTGTCATGGCTACTATTTACAGGATTTTGTCTTGTTTGCGAGTTTTTTTTCTTTTCATTTGTTGTCTGCAATTTTGAATTATTTTCAAAATATTTGTAAGGATTAAAGCAACTGCAGGTTATATAAATTTTCATTTTTTAATTACACTTTATGATGTTAAGTGATTGTGTACATGAATAGTACGTTTTTTCTACTAATAATTTATAATGCCTTCCGTTTCCCCTTGGCTCAAAACTCCTTACGGTATGACTCTCTGTGCAAGGCAATTTCTGAAGTCAATAGCTGGCGGTTTTGAACCCCAATTCCAGGTCGCTTAAATACGAGTTTCAAGATGCATTCGGATATATTACCTTTGGTTGTCATTTTCAAATGCTTGTGTACAACGTCTTTTGGTGTTGATATTTTCTTTTCATCAAAACCGGGACTCACATTAAATTCTAGTCAGTGTATAAGTACCACAGAACCTCGTTGACATACATATATTTATTATGATACCACATACATTCTACATTTACAACATTCTTATATAGATTAATTAATATATATATGATGACGACTTTATACAAATAATATCAATATCTTTATAACATTTTTATCACCTTGATCAATCCACCCACCTTGACGCTCTATTCATATGTAATACTTCAGGGACAATGAGGTCTTATGAACATAAACGCTGCCACCCTCCTTAAAGAATACTCCAATAAAAATATCTTGGTTTGGTGACATCGTTTGCTCGGGATGGGAAGGGGGATACAGAAGGCGCAGAAGGATTACAGAATGAATAAAACACATATATGGTTACAGCGAGGGAGGCTGGTAAATACACAGTAAAGGACTCGTAAACGGGATACATTTCCCAACATGACGTCTTTGGCTATCTTAATTTGCATTTTACTTCAACATTAAACTAAATTTTCTGAGCTTTTCTCTCAAAAAATGCTCAAACATTAAGGTTACGTTAACTATAGGTGTCCCATCTATTGAATAAATCTCTCTCTCTCTCTCTCTCTCTCTCTCTCTCTCTCTGCTGACAAATACTGGTATATCTAACCTCTGTAAAATGTGCAGACCTTTTGTAAAATGCCACATTGAAGTGACATCAACTGCAGATAAGCAGCATCTGGACACTGCCCAAATTAATCAGAACCAAATCCTGAAATACTACAGTACAGATAAACATACATGTGTCACCTTGTTTCTGTGCATTTATCAGTCTATTATCATTTTATCATTCCCAAACATAAATGTATGGCTCTGAATCTATATCTTTGTCCCTCCTCTTACAATGCCAAAGGAAAAGAAACAAAACTAAATTTACTGCCAAAACTCGATATAACAGCCACTATTTACTGCACCTCAATATCATATTACAAGGACAGAATTCTCCAAAACGAGAAAACTTCCTATCCCTCTGCAAGTCATCTCCAAAGCAAGACCATCTACAAGCTATACCATATAGTTTTATTTTCCCATGTTTTTCCCTCAGTCACATTCAATACTGTGGAGGAGGTTGTTGATAAGAGTTGTACTGTGGTTGCTGCTGATTCTGCTGCTGTTGTTGCGTCAATTGTCGCTGTAACTGTGCCACCAACTGTGCTGTCTGTTGCTGTTGCTGCGTTTGTTGTTGCTGCTGTTGCTGTTGTCTCATTGCCAGCAGTTGCTGCTGCTGTCGTAACTGCTGTAATCGTTGCTGATGTTGGGGTGTAGGTAAATTCTGCATATAAGAAGACTGAGACGGTTGTGACGGTCCCATCTGATTGTAACCTGCCATTGGAGCAGGGCCCCCAGGATTTTGAATACCCCCTGGGGCATTCATTGGGGTCCCTTGGTTGGAGATCCCCCCTGGTCCTCCTGACATCCCCCCAGGGCCGCCCGGACCCTGGAGACTCCCCTGGTTGACCATGCCTGGACCCATTCTGGAATATTACACAGAGACAAGTAAAAAAACGGGAGATCAGCTTATGTGCAGTAATTACATTTTTCCCATACCTCACTTTATTTTACTTTTTTAAAAAAATAATCATACTCAGACATTTTCAATACTGCCTAACAATCCACTTTCTAATATAAAGCCAAGTAACTTTCCAAAACTATTGAATCAGCATTTTTTGGATTGCATACAAAACATTTCTGGGGAATATTTATTAATTTATGATGTTGAAATTTACTGAATATTACTAGTTATACATTTTCCAAACAATTCCTTTGACCAAAAATAAAAGTTAAGTTATTTGAAAACCATAAAACAGAAAAGCTGTTCTAAATCTTTAATGTTTAGCAATGCTTCTATTATTGCCTGCACACAGAGATTAACCCAATTTCTTTCTTAGGAATTTGCCAAAAGAAAGTAACATCTTCAAATGAAGACAAACATCCTAATAAGCTGTTACTGTACCTGTTGGGTTGGCCATACATATTCTGCTGTGGAGGTGGACCCTGAGCCGCCATTGACATATACCCAGCAGACGACTGCGATCTCATTGGCTGATTCATCATGCCCTGATCCTGCATACTGTTATATGATTGGTTGAAGTTGGGTGACATCATTGTAGAGGGCGTTGGTGTGTTGTGGACTTGTCCACCAGGTGGCAGAGCTGGCTCCATCATTTGGGTTTGCTGGGACTGCATACCATAGTTGTTGTAATTCTGGGATAATCCTGAAAATAAGGTTTATTGTGGATATATAGGTTGTAATTCAAAGTTTCAAATATTGCACATATTTAAATATTCTTAGAAGAGAGCAGATCCATAGAATAAAAATTGGAAAATGTGTGAAAATGGGGGGTCCAAGTCATAAATACATCACCCAAATATCCAGATAAAAACCAGTTATTTATCTGTATATAATTAAGAAAAGATCAAAGAAAAAGATTAAGAAGAAGAAGAAAAATGAGACTGTCTCCTGGAATCAAAGGTGTGACTTAAATATTAACATCAGTGCTATTTCCCTGTGTCATACCATCAGTTGTTGTTACCTTGCTGCGGCAGATGGTGCAATGGTTGCTGCCCTGACACCGACAACTGCGGCTGCTGCTGTTGCATGTTGGGATTGGAGTACATTCTCTCCATGTTATTCTGCATATTACGGCCATGTTGTGCACGCAGCTGCATCCTAATCATCTGTTGCTGGCGCTGTTTCTGCAACATCTGGAGATTCTGCATGGCTGCCTGAGAGTTTAACGGTGGATAGGAGTGCGACGACGGCATTCGCTGGCGAAGCATCTGGCTCAAGGCGGCCTTTGACTGGGAATTGGGAAACCTCGGCCCACCTGGAATAACAACTTCTAAGCTAGAGTTCATTCAAACTGGATTCTATAAATTATGTACTTTCTTTGTGTGTTTGTGGGTGTGTGTGTATTGGGGGGGGGGGGGATATTAAAAGAAATAAACAGAAAGTAACACAATGGTTCACTTTTTATCAAAAAATGTAGGTTATCATGGGCACTAAGACTGGAATATTTCAACAAACAGAGGCCTGCATAAATTCTAGAGTCTTTTTTTTTTATAATAAGGGGAAATGAAAAGATATTAGGCAATTATTTTGATGTGATTCTTACAGAAAAGTATAAATAATTTGAAAACCATGGTATTATACTAGACTATCTAGATCAAAATCAGACTTAAAAAGTACTTGGGGCACCTTAATAAATTATTGGATCACCAACAAATTCTAACAATTCTGACAGTTTCTGAAAGTTTGTCAGAAACTTCCCACAACTTCCTCTATAATGTTGATTACAAACCAAAACACCAACAAATAACCTCTTTCTCAGAGGTAAGAAAAAGGCAATTGACCTTCTCACACAAACTATCTTTTCTATATAAAACATTTCACTTGAGTCTTTGGTTTTAATTACCTGCTGTCAAAATAGGTTATAAAAATTAATAATGAAATAAACCGGAACCAACCCCCCTAATTGTTCTTTTTAGCTACTTTATTCTTTAAAATGTTAGTTCAAGTGGTCAGAAGAACTGGAATTTTTCCAACAGATTGAGACCTGCATAAATTCTAACATTAAAGTCAAGTAATATTTGGATTAAGTGGAAACGCATAGATATAAGCCAATTATTTTGATTTGATTGAGTAATAAATTATATATTTCTGACATAATATTAGTTCAGATTAAAATAAGACCAGAAAAGTATATGGAGGCAGCTTAATTCCCACAGTTCATCATCACCATCAAGAACATCATGATATACATTGTTATATATAGAAATGAATAACTGATTTATTTGCTTAGCTGATATTTCAGTAGCATTAATTATTCATAAAATGACTAATTTATTAGTTTAGTTTTCATTATTACTTAACTAATTGAATTTATTAGTTTATTAGTGTCATAGTTTTCATTATTACTTAATTAATTGAATTTATTAGTTTAGTTTTCATTATTACTTAATTAATTGAAGTCCTGAAAACTTCATCAAAATCCCTCCATCTCTTTTTACATTAAATTAAATGTTGCACCAAAAAGACAAACATTATTAGCTGATGAATTAATGACTAATTAATATTAATTACTATTTGATAAAGTAACAGAACACCACCAAGATCTAATTGTTTGAAATTTGGCCCCTCCTAACAGTTGCCAAAAGTTCCCCTCAATCTTCTCACAATTATTTCCATAACGTTACTAACAACTCTACATCACCAAAAGCAGATATTAAAGGGATAATAACTCTTCCTATGAGATCTAGATTTTACAATAAAAACATTGTGAAAAACTCATAGAAATATAATATATTCTGTTTTACCACAAAAACGGCAGTTACAGCTATTATTCTGATATCTGAGCTTGTCTTTAGACCACGTGACCTCCATTGATGGCTATACTCTTAAGAGATTTTAACAAAAAACCAAATTTTTTAGAAAAAAAACCAGGGACTAACTTTGAATGTAAAAATGGATTCATTAACCATTGGTAAGTATGGGAAAATTATTGTTTACTCCAGGAAAATTCATTTTTTGGCCAAAAAACTAAAAACAAAAAACTAAACTAAGGCAAATTTTATGCTCACTCATACTTGGTATCTTTTGCTTCCAAAATGAAAACATCTAAAGGGATATCAACTCTTCATTTTGGCAGGATAAGTGTCATAAAATAGTTTTTTCCTGGGATAAACAAAAATCTTCCTACACTAATCAATAGTGGTTGTATCTGCTCTGACATTCAAGGTTAATTAATTGTATTTTGTAAGTGTTTTTTGTAATAATCTCTTAAGAGATTATTTCGAATGTGTAGCCATCTATGTAGGTATGCATGATTCAATGACAAGTACGTCATTTAGAATATCCACGCTTACACCATATTGTTAGTATAATGGAACTGATTTTTTTTTCTATGTAATTAGTGTGGAGTTTTGTATTTTAAGTGATCGGATGCTGCCATTTAGACAGTTTATGTTTTATTTACCTACACAATTTGCAGGTTATAAAAATTTAAAATAGGTTTTTAAGATCATACTAATGAATTTTTTCTTTTCATATTGAAAGTCATGCGAATGTCGGTTCAGGTGGTCAGAAGAACTGAAATTTTTTCAACAAATAGAGACCTGCATAAATTCTCCCATCAATACAATAGTATTTTTGAATTAAGAGGACAATCACAGATATAAGCCAATTATTTTGATGTTATTATAAGATAAAAATATTGATAATTAAATTTTTTCTGACATTATGTTAGTCTTTACTAAAACAAATAGGACTAGAGAAGCACTTGAACAAAGCTAAATTCTCAATGATATATATAAATGAATTATTCATTTGAAATAATTTACTACATCATGAGCTGAAATTGCATCACCATACATTTTCTATGAAATTTCCAATGAATTAAGTTTTCATTATTCCTTTAAAATAATAACACCTAACTCTGGCCTATTTCTGAACTGTCCTTAAATTTCATCAAAATCCTGTCATAACCTTTTATGTGTAATTAAATGCTGCATTTTCATAAATTATTTATACAATTGCCAAGTATTTTGTTTATTTTTTATTATTAATTGTTTAACTAAATCATCACTAAAATCTGGCACTTTTCTGATTGTTCATCAGAATCCTTCTTTCTTTTCATAAATTCACAAATGATGCCTTCATACCAGGAAAAACCAGAAATAAGTCTTTGTTCAAATGCTGTATAACTTTCAAGACTCATTTGATATACCCACACGGCAAATACGTTTATGCCATCCTCCCCTAAAAAAAGAAAAAAAAGTGATCAAGACTTACCTGGAGGAAGTTGCTGAGGAGAGTAATATGGCGGATGCTGCTGAAGTGACCAACTGGGTGGCGGCCCGCCTGGATAGCTCTCTGAACTATAACCACTGTAGCCTGTACGAACTGGACTCTGGAAATAAGAGCAAAAAAATATGAAAACTAAATCAAGTGAGAGTATGTGATCATTACTGGTCAGCTAAGTTATATGGTATTACATATTACTTTACTGTTTGAGACCTACTGCAAAGGAAGATGGTTAATAGTGACATTAATTTATCATGCACACTTCTAATGAATTATATTCTAATGAATAATACACACATCACATTACAAACTACAAAATCCATCTACAGTCTAACTACATTTCAAATTATAGATTTAAAATAGGTCAGATTTAACTTTACTACAGAATATATTACCAACACAGAATATCCTCAAACACCTTGACAAAGTGCCTGGTGCCAGATTTTATATTATTTAAACAATAAAGACAAAACTTGTTTTATATTTTACATGCTATAAGAAATAATACAGTTAACCAAAATTCCAAATTGGCATGACATAAGAAATCCTCATTCATAAAACAAGCAGCTGCAGATATAGCAGAAACTACTCAAACCACCAAAGAGCCAAGCCGATCATATCCTAACATCATTATCATCAAA